ATAGTAGTTTTTCTTCAATTATCGCGGTGCCCTTTAGTAGATCCACAGTTTGGGAACCCCTGTATAATACTATACTACTATGCATTATACCAGTGATTCTCAAAGTATGGGTCGCAGAAAAATTGATGACAGACGTATGTTTTTCTACATATAACGATTCTTCGGGGAGTCCTTTAAATTTTTTAAGTTCAAAAGGGGGTCGCGGACCAAAACGTTTGAGAAACACTTCATTATACTATATTATATGACCATCAATTCAAGAAATTCAAATTGATCGGGGTGGAACGAAATATTCTAATAACTAGCACGTCTATACTATTGAGTGGTTGCCAGCTGATTGACATTTATATTATACGAAAATACAGTAACGGAAGAAAGCGCAACTATAAAGTTCACCGCAAAATTTAGATTTATAATACCAACAGTTACGTGAGAAGGTTCTGGACTCAACTTTCTTTTGTTGAGACGAAAAAGTCCTTACTTTCTGCTTTCCTCAAAGCGTAGTTTTTATATTTAGCAAACTTTCCAACGTTACAACTGATTTTTTTATATATGATTATTGCAATTTTATCTAAAAATTTTGTTTTATTACACGAATTAAATATTAATATTACATAATGTCTTCTTTATCATTAGTAATTAATCAAAACGATTGTTGGACATATGATTTGCAAAAATGGGACAAGGACATATATCAAAATAATATATGCAGTTTTTATTGTAGTTCCTCGTGCATTTTATTTAGAATAAATTATGTTTTCTTATCGTCTAGACCAGCGGCTTCCAACAGGGGAGGCGCGGTCTATTGCCAGAAGAGACGCGCGGACTAATGCCAGGGGAGGCGCCAAAATGTTTTAATAAATTAATTTGTATACCATAATATCTTAAAATAAATAAAACGTGTCTATATTATTTAATCTATTAAAACAACAAAAGGTAAGGGAGGCAAAAAAAATAAATTTTCGGGGAGGCGTAGTAGCATAAAGGTTGGAAACCGCTGGTCTAGACTTGAGACGGAATTTTCTACACTTCAATTTTACGTTTTTTTACTACATTTAATTCATTCCGTACATTGATGGTGCGTGTTTTTGAGGAACGTCTATTGCATTATTTTGCACTCGTCGAATATAGTATTCGATTATGAACTCATTCATTATACCAACAATATTTTATATAGTGCGGACTGCTTGAAACCGGATCAATAGAAAACTAGCTTGTAAAAAAATATTCAAGGTTAAATTTAATCTACGTCTTCTATAGACAAATTTTAGAGTGACAAATTCCCCAAGTGGAAAGTTTCCTTATTTCATCTTTATACAAATGTGAAGAGCAGTAAATTATATAATTGCTATTTATATCTGATACTAACTAGAATTAGGTACCAATTTTTTCTCGTATATTGTGTATATACTGAGTAAATATATACAGTTTTGACTGTTCTCAACGAATTTGCACCAATTGTCGCAACCGCTTCATACGTTTTAAGTAATGCCACACAGTAGAGTAATGCCACACTTAGATTACTTTTTATTTAACGATATGTAACAATTTTATAGTTTCTGAATTAAGTATTTTTGAATATGTTTCACTATACGAGTAAAAATCCGGAAATGTTGGATTAAACTTGTTTAGCAAATGAGCGGCGGATATATTCGCCCAAATTACCACAACATAATATTTTAGATTTTACATATCTCGAAGTTGCATTCTACTGGATTTACTCTTTCATCGTTTACACAGACTCTATTTCTCTCTGTGAATATACTTTGTCATGGTTATGTTTGTTATTACTTTGATGCTGCTTCTGTGAATACGTATCTGAGTTTTAATGTCGGCAACGCGACAGTTTTTTTATTGCGTTTTTGTGAAAGTACTTCCACATCAGAAAAAAAAATATAAATCATAATAAAAATCTTAAATTAGATTTTACAATTGATAAAAATTTAATATTTCTTATTTTCTCGATACCATCCATCGTAGCATGAATCTCTGTGGAAATATTCAATATTTGCATAATTTTACGAAATTTTATACGCAGAATTTAATTAAAACATCCGAACTTTTTATTACTTCCAATATTAATATTAAATATTAAAAGTATGAAAATATAGAATACAATTTTGTTTTGTATTTTCTGACAAGAAACGTAAACATAAAATGTAATTAGAAAAGACCAATAAATTATTATTATTATGGAATTTGGACTACATGAATATTTCTGGATTATTTAAAAAATTGGTAATATTTTATGAAATAGTCTGAAAATCTGTCGTCTTTAGCCTGTGGCGCAAAAAGCTGGTAGAAATAAATGTTACAAACTAGTTTCCCAAGATGGACCACTGGTTTTTTGTTAATTCTGTTCAAAATCAATTTAATCAATATTTTATAACAAGAAAATAATACTAATAATTAAAGTGAAACTTTTATAAAGTCTTATGAAAAAATAGGTACAAAAAATTGTATGAAAAATCCAAAACTTGACTTAAGATTTCTTAAAAAAAATAGATTTTATTAATGATGGCTTGAGGAGTAAATATAGAGGTAATTAAGTAGTAAGCAGATAAAATGTATTACAGTGTTTACTTGTATAGAAACGTAAGTCTTGTAATTGCAATTTGTCGCTCATTAAAGCTAATGTTGCATGCGATCCAACGCGATTGCAATATACGAGTTGATTGAAAGTATTACCCTGGGAAATAATTTCAATTTAATACTGGTTCGCAAATATCAAAGTAATAATGTTTTTATTGATACAGCGGCCATTTATTTTTCACCACATCACTTTATACCGAGTAAAATTTGATTAAAATTTGATTAATTTCATTATTTACATAGCGTGCAGCAATTAAAACCATCGAAACATTTTCCATTGATGAGTTTTAGAATAAATAGTTCATTATTTTTTTGATTTATAATATCAAGCTACATATAAAGTTTTAATCATGTCTAAACTTTACACTATTCCTTCTATTTTTTAGGAATCTTAGATTTTTAGAAAAAATATTTTTTTTTATTTATAGTATAAAAATCACTCAGTTATACAAAAATTAATTAATTCTATATAATTAACAAAGATTTTAGAATAATCTGAATAATAATAAAATACAAATATATGAAATTTAATTGCAGAAAAAATTGATTTACATTTATTAAAATTAAGATTAACTGAGTTTATTCTAAATCATAAAATGATCAAGTGTATATTTGAAGTAAAATTGACGGTATATGAAGTGTCATTGTGTAGTTTATTTAAACACTCACTTGAAGTTGAAAGGAAATTTTCATTTTGTTCGGAACTCTCATGTTTTATACATAAAGGAAAATGCGCCAGTCGGAAAAAAGGTTCTGCAGTAAATTAATGGTCGTGTTTAATTTAATTCAAAGAAAACGTTATTATTAAACAAAAAGTATACATAGTAGAATGCAAAAGGTTAATTACTATTTGAGTTTAAATAAGGAATTTTTAATTAAAACTAAACTATATTGGAACTACGCCAATGTTAAATTTAATAGAGTAAATCTTCATTGTTATATAAATTGTTTAAGTTTAAAATTGTATTTCTGATATTTTTAATTGATTTATTAAAGTTGCTTTTATAAAAAAATGTAAGATAAATATTAAATATCAATACTTAAATGTTTTTTACGTTTAATTTAAAAAAAAATCTAATCAATTGATGATATATAAATAATTTTATAATGTTATTAAAAGATAAATTTAAAATATTCATTTTTAGTGTAAATTTAAGAAGTCTAATATAAAAAGAAATTTTATTTCTTTAATTTAAATTCGATTAATTGAGTTGAACATTTTCAATTGTACAGTAATGCCTAGTGCGGCTTCGATTAGTCTGGATTCACTACAGTACGGTTTAAAAATTTCAAAACAAACTAAATTTGAATTAAGAAAAATCTAGAAAAATAGAACACATTTTTTAAAATTTATAATTGATCTATTTGAACTGTCTATTTTTATAGCGTTTTTAAGTCCTCAATTAGTCCGGTCTTAAATAATGCGGAATTGATTACTCGCACTGTAAATTTAAGACAAGTTTGTATGAAATATTATGTAAGTTATTTAAACTTAATTTAAATTGAAAATCTATTTTTTCAAGCGCAGAAAAAAACATTCTTCAATAGCCTTTTTGAATTTAATTTTTTTATGGTTACAATAAGTATGGAAACTGTAAAAAATGATTAATAATTTAAAAAATGTATTAAGTCATGTTCTTTTATATTTCAAATTTGTATTGGTAATAATTATTATATAAATAATTTAATTATTGAATTTCTTAAATTAAATTTTCGGTTTTTCAAATTGTAGTCAAACTTTGTTTAAGTAGTTTTTATTTCATTTAAATATTAAAAATCTTGATTTTCCTGAAGAAAATTGTAAAATATTATTTATTTACTAATTGTTATTGGTTAAAACATGTAATCATTTCTAGTTTTATGTAAGTAATTTAATTATAAGAAAATTTTGTAATATATTTCAGAATTTTGAAGGTTTTGTAGTTGAAGGTGTGTGGTTAAAGTAAAATTATATGCAAAGCGTTAGCATTTCGCGTGTTAAGCGAAAATATTGTGTGATGACTTTTAATTAAATTATATATGTACAAAGAAAGTAATTACACGGCATACATAGTAAACGGAATGCAAAGAAAAAAAGCACGCACTTGAATGGAAAGCATTTCACATATCACATAGCTGTGTACATATTGACTTTTCTTTCCAACTACGATGAGGGAATTTTACAAAGCCCTTTGAAGCTTTTATGTTGAATGTATATTTATAGATCGCGCTTTATAACGAGCGCAAACCTTATTTGCTGGACTCTCTCTTTGTGTGATGCATACATGCAAACATCGAAAAAAAGAAAAAGAAAAGTTGCTCGCAATTTCAATAGTTAATAACTTGCTAACAATAGTTAAAATACTGCCCCATATTTGATTGTGGGTTGTAGCTAATAACGCACACTGTGTTCGTATAAAGTTACTTACAAATTGAATAACTCGAATCTGGAGTAAAGTTTGCGTCGAAGTTCGCAGACGTGCTTCTTATTGGTATAAGGGGTTGAAAACGTCGCTACACTTTCACGCACAGCCAGTAGAAGACTGGCGAGCTTCGAGCTTGAAACGGGGGGAGCGAAAGCCCTTCGACCGACGCGAGCTTTCGAGCGCGCCAACTCTGCCCTTAAAGCTCACTTCTGCAATAACTTCGAAATATTTCCATCATCCAGTTGTGTTCTCTGTTCCGATGCTCTTCGCAAAATCCAACAGGAAAATGCAGAACTACACGCTTCAGTCGAAACTTTAGCTTTCAGCTTTTTCTCGCTTCTCTCATTTTTTTTTGATTGATCGTTCGCAACTGCTGCGAATACAAATCGTGACAGGTCGCGCAAGAAAGTGTTTCATAATATAATGCAGTCTCCGTTTCGACAGTCGCACTTCAAATATAATTGATTGTCCTAAAACAATTTCAATTGCTTAGGGATGAACTCGAGGCAATCTCCAAGATGTGTTTAATATACATAGAGTGCATTAACGTAACTATCATAGTTTCAAAGCTTTTATATCATTGAATAAGTTTTAATTTCAAATATGGTCAATATTCACATAACGTACATCGCTTTTATAACGTTCATTAATAAGTACATGATTATTACCAACAATCTAGAAACATATAAATATCAACACTACAAATATAATGAGCAGCTGCACACAAAGCATTAATTATATATTTGCTAAATAATATCAGATTCTTTCCTTATGTTACTCGTTTATGGAATAAGTAAGTAAACAAGGGTACGTTTGTGCAAACCTGTGTACAAAATTTCTTAGATACAAAAATAAATTGCACACGAATCTAATATACATAGTAATCATCTTAATCATAGTTAGTGCTCGCTGTAGATCTTTTTAACAACGTTCGTTAATACGTACATTATTATTTATGACTCTATACTAACGTACAAATATAAATATGAATGTAATAATGTTGATCGGATGAGCGGCTCCACATGAAGCATTAAATATGTATTTGAATACTGTTTGAGGTAATATCTGCTTATTTTGGAATATTTTTTAAGGAAAAAGTGTTTATTTACATCACAATTCGACTGAAATTCAATTCGATTATATATAAATTATCTTGATGCAGTGATTCCACGACGTGTACGTTAGTAGGAATGTCGAGTACGTTCGTGCGAACGTTTCTTCAAAATTGCTTAGAGATGATCCAAAGAAATCTCAAAGAATTATCTAATATACATTGGTATATTAAAGTAACTATCATAATTAGCTTTAATATTATTGGATTAATCTTAATGTAAATAATAGTCAGCGATCGCTTAACGTACATCCTTTTAACAACGTACTTCATTCATTGTAAATTTTCTTATTTTATTTTCTAATATTCACAGTGATTAATATAAGTTATTTAACTATTTTATGTAATTAATATAAATATTTATAAAATAAACAATACTAAATGTAAAAAAAATAACCACGGTGAATTTACATTAAATACAAATAAAAGTAGACTATTGTCGGCTCTTTGTGCCTTTGAAGATGAAAGGAGTTTGATAATGATAAGAGATCAATGCAATTAGCGAATACTTTACATTAAATTTAACACAATAAATCACAAAAAATAATATATAATAAAGTACGTTTGTAAAGAAGTATCAACAGGATCATTATATTCGTTATTGCTACATCAAAAAATTTATTAAATATTTTCAATTTGAATTCATAAAGAAATATTTTAGAAAAAATATCGATAGAATATATTTTAATGGATAGTAATTAATCAAAATATATTTTTTTAAATTCAATTAAAATTTCTTAAAAACATTGAATAAATGTATTTTTACTTTGTAATATTAATTGGAATTGTTGTAATCCAATTAATTTTACCAAGATTCAAGTAATGCAGGTAGAAATATTCTTAAACTTTATTTTTGAAATAATATCAGTAAGAATTTCGTTGTTTCGTCGGACGAGAAAAGCAAGTTTAATTGTATGAGAAAACTTCACTTCTATTTGATAAAGTCAGAAGTTCGTTTATCTTGGAGTATTTCCGCAACTTTTGAACTCCGGTGTTGTGCTTCCGCTTATATCCGCATTTTTTTACTTAACTGAAAGTAATTCATTTTTTCTCACAAAAAAAAGTTGGAGTTGTTTTCTCCCCTACACGTATATATAATTTTGTGGAAAGTAAGTATATATTTTATCATGTACTGCTTAACGCTAGACGGGAGAAAATTATTTCATTATATCTAATAGAATTTTCTTTGCTCAGGAGTGGAACGTAAGCGAAATAAAACACTGTTTTGAGTGCAACAGAGGACAGGATAGACGTAAGTGTTTATTTTGTGTATTGGAACAATTTCTTAGAAAATAACATTATCTATAAAATAAATATAAAATTGTAGTAATTTTTGTATTTTTAAGAAAAATTTCTATTATTATTATTAGACATTTTTAAGTTACAACTGAAAACGTGAATATTTCATATTTTGTATAGTGCGGTGGATTTTATTTATTTCTAATATTAGTTCAGCAAAATAAAAATTAATTTCTTCAAAAAATGGTACACAAAATTTATATTTAAATTATTTCATTGAATTAAATTATCGTTTTTTTATACAGTCAAGTCTTATAAGATGATTCGTTTAGTCAATAAGTCAAAAGGAATAGATCCACATTTAATTCTTCAAGTACTACTAAACCAAAGTCAAAAATACGTCGTCAGAAACCCAAAGAGGTTAAGTCACATCGAAATCACAGAAACCCCGGTTCGAAAAGTCTTGTGTAGAATAGAACTTATATAATTTTAATTGAAAAAGTATTGATCATTCGACAGAAACTGGAAAAAATATGCAAGACAGTGCCGACTTTTGGATTTTGACACCCCAGTCATAATAATATAATATGAAGAGGGGCATAAATATTTACTGGGGCAAATGAAAATGAAATATATTATAACTAATGGGGCCCAACTAACTTTGTTTGGGGGCCATCATTCCCATAATTAACCGACGTTAGAGACACTACTAGGCACAAGCTAAGTAAGAAGTGTGTGTTTAATAAGAGGAAGTAAAATCCTTCTTTCTGCGCTTTTTTCCTCCATTAGTCCGGTGGTGGAACTAATTACCCGCACTATGTGAGGTTTTGTTAAAATTAAAGTATATATAAATATATAAATGTATGATTTTAGTATTAATTTATTATTATATAGATGTAAACCAGATATCAAAGCTAGGATTGATATAAGAAGATTTATTTCAATTTGGTGCAATAAATAAAAATGCGTTTATTTATTATCAGATCAAAGGTATTTGCACTAGTTAAGCTCAATTTATGAAAGAATCTACTCCCAGAGTCTTCAAATGTCCATAAAAATCTTCAGACACTCGTAAACTTTACTTGTGACCTACTGACCTAACAAAAGGCGTTTTATGTTACCCATCGTAAAATAAATGCAATAATTCATTTAATGTATTATTGCATTATTTTATTATTGCAATTCACGATCTTAACATGCTAATTATATAGGATTCTATTCGATAAAAAAGTACTAAAAACAACTATTTTCTTAGTATTTAGTATGAAATTAATTATGGATCACTTCAAAATTAAGATTTTAGAGTATAATAGTTGACAATCTTATTTTCTTCAAAAGAGAAAAAAAATCGAGCACAAATTTCTAGATTTTATTTTCTTCAACTTAATTTTATGAGTATAATGATTTAAGAATGTATTTGTAAATCAGTAATTTAATATCTAAAGTTTTATTTTTTTTTTCATAGCACACAAACATTTCTGACTTAAAACTTCTGATTTGTTTCTGTTTTTTATGTTAAGCAGATGTATACTTATATAATTTACCGGTGCTTCAATGATTTATTTCAATTACCATTTAAGTTAATGACTGTTATTATTTGGTAAGAATAAAAATTATGGTTATAAAAAAAATCTGATAATTTATTATACTTTGGGGTGTAATGTAATGGTCTTGAGTTACGTGACTTTAGAATCTTAGATAATTATTGTTTTTGTTTCATTAATTAATCTATTTTTTTACTAAAATAATGTATGAATATTAGAATGTAATAATAATATTTAAAACACATAAAAATATAAATATAAAATATTATTTGTAAATAAGGATAACAATTCAGTTCCCGAACAAAAATATATGCAAAAACGATTCGGTTTTCAAACTAAATTTTATGGCAGGCACGTGAGTATTATTCAGTTTTTAGACCTCAATTAACAAACAAAAGTTGACCATAATAAAAATATGTTTGTTCATCTCTTTTTACGAGCAAACGTCATATACTTTAATATTTGAAAAATGTAGAGCTTAGTAAATTATTAATTTAATATAACATACTTAACAATGATAAAATTACAAAATTTTAAAATATGCAGAAAAAAATTGTTAGATTTATTTTATTTTCTATTTAACAATGTTTTGTGTAGATTTATTGCATTTAATACTGATCATTTAATAATAGTACTTTTTCCAAGCTCATAGTAATTTTCATAATTAAAATAAAAGCAAATTTATAAATCTTTGGTTTTTAACAAATTTTCGACTTCATTAATTTCATCTTTCTAAATATTCCAGTTAATATTTTACTACCTTATACATTTCTCAAATTTCTTCGTTCAAATTTTATTGAAACTTATTGATTTGGATAATCAACCGAACATAATAATTTGTAGTTGTATAACAAACCAATTACGAAGAGTAGCTCGGTTTGACATAAGCTGCTGACAAGTGTCATTTTGTGGCCCATTTTTTCTTCTTCTACAGTATTGAAATTGCGTTATATCGTAGCTTCGTTATCAAAGGTAACGTTAATCGAGCTATAAACTTAGGTTATTATCACTACTTACTATCCTATTGGGATGTATAAAACGTAATAGGTTTGAGTTACGTGAGTTAGAAATTTCTGATAATCATCGAAGAGGATTGTGTTTTATTAATAATTCCCTCAACAAGGATTTAAATAATGCATGAGACCTTTATATCCGCGTTCCACGTTTACGAGATCACGCCTGAAACACATCATTACTGTTTTTAATGAGTTCAGAATACTACGCGCCGTGGACCATACCGAAGGGTTATATAATAATTCGC